TGCACCGAGAATCCATCCAAATAGAGCAATACAATGAAGTAATGAGCCAATGTTCAAGCCCTCAGGCCACACCAACACAGTATCCAAAGTCACTCCTCTCTGTCTGGCGCCCAGCGCCCAGCCTACTCTACTCAACTATCCTACCTACAGGTGTGTTCACACAACAGACTCACTTCGACTCTCGAAGACCAATGTACATGATGTCAACTCCATATCCGACCTCTCTTCATGCACCAGGTATGTATCTCGTCACCCTCATCAGACCTTGATAACCCACACTCGCCTCCTTCCCTGAAGACCACCAGATCGCCCCCTCTTACCCCCTAGCGCCCAGCAGCCCAGCTATGGCTGCTAGCGCACCGCTGCCCCACAGCGCCCCACTTCACCTCAATTGGCCCCGCAAGCACCCTGGCTGCAGCGCAGCATCCAACGCAGCAGCACAGCAGCGTGACTGCATTGCCTACGCGGCCCAGAATGCCTGGCTTGGGCTGCCCTGCTTCCAATATGGAAGTGGCAGCCTCCTGGATGCTGCGTGTGGCCTGGCTGGAAGCTTCCAGTAGCTTCCGGTTGGGTCTCAGTCCCTGCGCCCAGGCCTGAGACTACAGTTGAGGGGCTGGGCCCTTTACAGTCGGGCACGGCCCAAGTCTCTGGACTTGGGCCGTTTGCTGCATTTGTGCAGGGCCCCGAGGTAGGTGCGTCGACAGTACTGCTTTTGCATAGGCCGGTGGCCGCTTCATGATGCATCGGCCCTGCTTTATGTGTATGTGCCCAGGTGCAACTGCCAAGGCCTGGGCCAACTGTACGACGCAGCTTAGTGAGGCTCACGCGTCCACTCAACCCAACTGGCGTGCTGCAAGAGCCTGAATACCCACATATGAACGTGTCAAATTTTTGGCCTCTGACGAATATTCAGGCCCGCCTTCACTTAGGGCGGGCACTCGGCTTGCTGAGGCCTTTGCCCAGAACATGTGATGTCTGATAGGGCCCCGTGAGGGCTCGTTCCTCGCATTCCATCCCCCTTAGCTTCGAAAGTCCGCTGAGATGCTTCATATTGGTGCCTTCCCCTTCAGTTTCTTCTGATACTTGGCCACGATCTGAGGAGCTGTCTTGACTAGTTCCTCCTTCGTAAACCATCGATCTTCCTTAGGAACCATATGATGCCTGAGCCGTACTCTGTACTCCCTTGCAGGTTTAGGCGGTCTACCCCTGCCAGCTGGCTTGCGAACAGGCATGTCTCTGCACTCCAGGATATCGTCGATGTCCACGTGGCCATCCATGGTTGCGGACAGCATAGATCTCCGTGATGGCAACTGTTCTGTCTCAGCGAAAGGAGCGAGCTTTGAGGCATGGAAAACAAGGTAAGTGTGTAAGTGACCAGGGATACGAATGACGTACGAGGGACCATCCATCTCACTACCCACAACATCCAGGACTTCCCGGGGAACGAAGTACTGAGGCATAAGTTTCCTAGAGATGCCGAACTCCTGTCCCAGTTCACTAGCCTTAACCCAGACACATTCCCCTACCTGAAATGTGGAGTGTCGGCGATGCTTATTCTCAGAAGCAATCATTGCGTCCTGAGACTTCTTGATGTTCTCGACAGCTTGCTGCAGCAACTTCTCATACTGGACACCAAATTCAATGGTTCCAGGAGTTGCAGCAGGTCGGTTTTCAGGAAGGAGGAAGTCTAGTGCAGAATCTATTCGTGGGAAGCAGCACGTGCTGGGAACCGGGCCCAGCGTCCCATATCAAATCCACACAGTTTAACTAACTTAACTTTATCCCCGTTAATTTTTCACTTTTGCCACTGCGAGCGAGTTGAGTGGCAAGTAGGCAATGTGTTTCATCCAGCAGACACATCTCTTGCAGATGGGAATGCAGACATGGAAATACAGCTAAAATGACCAGGTGTTCTATTCGGGTGAAGTCGGTACTACATAAACAGAGGACCACCATTTTCTTTTTCCTTCTTTTTTTTGGACCATTTGGATGATTTGGTCCATTGCTCAATTTATGCATATCATACTTTGTGCAGGAGCCACGCTATTCTTCTCTCTATCATTCTTCTTTGGTGTACCTGGCTTGTGGCTGGCTTGTGGCTGGTTTGTTTGCTCCATTTAACGGATGTGCTGAAGGACCAAGGGAGGGACCTTCTTTGGTGTACCTGGCTTGTGGTTGAATGGCAAACACTCCAGAGCAATACAAACATGTAGTGTTTTTTTTTTTTTTTTTTTTTTTTTTCAACAACAAACAAAGCCCCATCTATTCTGGGGGGCAGCAGTCTGGTTGCTCATCACTGGCAAGCAGGGAAAGGTACACTATGAAATCAAAATAACAATAAATTGAATAAATAGAACGAGGAAAGAAGATACACTATGAAATCAAAATAAACAGGAAGAAGAGGAAACATGTAGGTTTTAATAAACAGATTAGTTCAAAATTGAAATACTGGACGGATCCAATGAATACAATATAGCTACTCTTTTTGAAAAAGACAAAGGACTTTTTCAGTACAAGTTCCGTGCAGATTAGTACTTACGATTAGGTGAAAACTCTCCCATCATTACACACACACAAAAAAAAAGAGTAAAATTTCAGTAGTTACCGTGGTGGCGGCTCGAACTCCCGTGGTCCTCCGGCAAAAAGGGACAAGGGCGATGGCAGGATAGATGGGACGAGCTTTGCAATCTGCGATGGCGGGGGGGGAGAGTAATCATCATTCAATGCCCTATTCACTGCTTCGGCGAAATCCTCATCGCTCATCGCTTCTAGCTGCGTGCTATGCTCCGCCGACGTAGTCCACACAATATTGCTGTACAGGCTGGCCATCTGCGAGCCGCACATACATTTCTTGATGAGCAGATTTAGAAATGAGAAGGCAACAAATAACAAGCAAAGGCGACAGCAAGGCAGACATTTTTTTTTTGGAAAGAGCACGTATAGAAGGCAACAAATAATTGTCCCCTGGGTCATAATGTGGGTAAGCATACTGGGTGGTATTTCATCTATTCTTCCGACTTGCCGGTGGAATAGGAACGGGACTATGCTCCGCAAAATGGATATGGACCAGTGCTGCATACCCGGTCCCACCGGGGCCCCCTCCCCCCACCGGAACCGGGCCGGTCGCACCGGCCGGTGGACTGCGCCGGTTCCCCCCCCGTTGCCATTTGCGCATTTCGATTGGGGGGGGGGGGGGTACAAATTTTTTAGGGGCCGGGAGACCTCCATGCGGGTCGTGGAGGCCTCCTGGCCACAAAACAAATTCAACCGGGTTCGGTAGGCCCGCCCAAATGTTGAAAAACCGGCGGCCTATCTGGACCGTAGATCTGGCGAGATCGGCGGCCCAGATAGGCTGCCTGTTTTTGAACATTCGGGCCGGAAACTGGGAAACCGCCCGAACATAGGCCTGCCCTTCCTTCCGTTCCCCCCCCCC